GCCCTGCAGCACTGATGAGTTTCCCAGGGCATTTCCCAGCACACTCAGCTATGTAAAAGTAATGAGCATTCCCAATAAACTGGGTCACCACGTGCCACATACTGGGTCACAGTCATGTGCAGTGGATAAAATACAGCAGTGCTGGTGGCTGTTTCCATTATCACAGCCAGGGTTGGGGCTGGCACGTGGCATTGTGGCAGGTCAGAGCATTCACTGCAGTTGTTTGAAGCTATTTTGTGTGGGTCAAGAGAAGATAAATCTCGTTAGGTGCAGAAATATGGTTAAAATACAGTGTGGAAGCCCTTTAAGAGCCCTGGAGGGAGGAGGCTGTTGGAGGAGCTCAGGGGTCTGAGGTTCTGCCAAGGGGGGTTGGTAGAACCTTGCAGAAGGAAGCCAAGACAAACCATGGCAGAAGTGTGATGGCAAAGGAATGCTGCCTAAATGGAGGAGATTCTTTTTCACAAATAGTGCTGGAGAACTGCTTAAAATTGGCCTGTCCTAATAATTAAAAATAACTTATTTCCCTTGAGCCGTCTCCAGCCCCTTTGATGTTCCCTCTGTCCTTCAGCCTTTCCCCTGTTACTGTCATCTCCTGCCTCTCCTGCCATGTCATTTCCTCTCCTTCTCTCTTTTGTCTTTTCCTTCTTCACAGTTCACTCCCTTCTCACCCTCTGTACTTTACAGCTTGTACACATTCTCTTTTGTGCCTCGTTTTTCCCTCTCCTTTGCCCTCTCCAACCTCTTCCCCCTGCTGTGTTCATGCAGCTCTTCTCTTCCACCAGCATTTTCATTATCCTTGGAGCAGCTGTTTTGCTTTTAACATCCTTCTTCCAGCAACTGTTTTCCTAATTCCTGACCCACGTGAGGATATTTCCCTTTTCCCCAGAGTTCATGGAATCCTTCCCTCTCTGTCCAGCTGAGCCCAAGCCAGGTGGAATCAAGAGCTTGGCCTTGGAGCTCTGGAGCGTGGTTTGCATGACCATGGGTCAGAAAAGGATTTTGGTGTGGGGAGAAGAGCTGCAGGAAGGTGTGGGGCATCTGTGTGTCAGGATGGGACACTGTGGCCAAGTCCTGAATCCAAGAAAGGGGTGGAAGGAGGGAACCTGAATGGAATGAGGGCAGGAAGGGTGGTGACAGCAGGAAGGTGAAGGTTACACGAGGCTGGATGAAATGGGAAGTGGTTGTGGCAGAAAGGGGAGAGTAGGATGGCTGGTGTTGAAAGGGTTGGGAGAAGACAGTCCTGAAGAACCTACTGGGTTTAACACCTGGAGGGAATATAAATAATGTCTTAATAATTCTGCTTTGGCAGTTAAGATGAAGTTTGTGTAATCCGAGTAAACGAATGTTTTGGGGCTCCCTGACCCCACTTCAGGGGGGGATGGGGTCGTGTTGGCCATGGTCTGTTTGAGGCAGTGCTCTGCCATCCCCATCTGGTGTTTCTCAAGCCCTGTAACACGTAATTAATGTTTAGAAAAAATGAGCTACCAAAAAAACACATGATAAATGTGCTGCTTTGGTGTGCAGCCAGCTGGACTCTCCACGTCAGTTTAGGGGAGGAGGTGATCACTGGAAGTAAAATACTCATCATACAAGTGTGAATTATTTTGCAGATCCTTTTCAAGCAAGAAAGGAACTGATACAAGTTTGTAACTTTGGGCATTTGATATTTAATATGGGAACCATAACACCTTGGTTTCTCAGCATGCAGTCACTCAGCTTGTCAAAACTGTGTTCTCAGCCCTTAAAAATTACATGAACAGGTACTTTGAACACTCCTCTTGATCTAGGTGTTAGTTTCCCATCCTTTGTAATCCACTTCTTGCTTTAGGGTTGCTTATAGGCCTTGCCTACTTAACGTTCACCATCCAGTGATTTAAATTGAATCAGACTTTAAAGCAAGGAATTTTTCAGCTTCCAGCTTTGTAAACATCATTTGACAAACCTGATAGCTTAGATGAAGGTTTAAAAGTTTTGAAAGTCTTAATTTAGTGTTTATACTGTTTAGTGCAATGGGATGACAAAGTTCAAATTGAAACTACGGGTAGAAAAATTATGTCTCAAATTGTATCAGACACAAATAAATGTTTGCTGATGGCAACATCCCTACCTTTGGAACCACATGGTGATCCCTGGTGATTTCATTTACTGTAATACAGTTTCTAGATAAAATTACATGTTTAATTCAAGGATTTTGTTTATGATAAGGGATGGCTGGAACTTGTTCAAGCAAGTTATTTAAGGCAAGGTTATTAGATCTGTTGAAAGTGAAGCTTTTATTGAAGAGAGCACACCTTTTCCAATGAAAAGTTCATTTCCAGGCTGTGCAAGTTCTTTTTTTTTTTTGTTCTTTGGATGTAGTTTTTGGCTTACCCAGTCAAGCAAAAGGAGGAGAGACCAAAACCACCTCAGAATCATGATTAGCACAGAGACCAAAACCACCTCAGAATCATGATTAGCACAGAGTGGTTGTTTCAGATGCTGAGCGAGGTCTGGACATGGTCTCCTTTATATTAGAAGAGAATCCTAAGCAGTGGAGCTGGTAATGCATCCATCCCTCTTCCTGGAACCCGGAGCAATTAATAAAGTTAATAATTAATAAGGTGAAATAATTGGAAAGAGACCTTCCCCAGAGCATTAGTGGGAGTATTAAAGGAATTCACCAAATACAGGGGACAAGGAACAGGGTTTGAACCAGTTTGGGGTGAGCCCCATCAATACCAACCTCCATCCTAGAGGCTTTTCCATTCAGTTCTGACATCAACCTGGTCTCATTCCCAAGGGTGGAACAGGACTTGGAAAGTTTTACAGGGTGAGAAAAGTGTTTCCCACCCAACTCTGTAAGTGAGGAGCCCAATTCCCAGCCCAGTTCCCGGTGCCAGGCTTCACATGCAGCACCAGCTTTTGGCAGCCTCTCTGTGATTCGAAGATAAAGAAAATGTCACGGGGAATAAATAACATCAAGATGAAGTTCTGGCGCAAGTTGTGTTTCTGAGAACATCAGAATGCCTCTCCTTTGGTTGCTTTCCCAAAATCTTCCTTGTTTTACTGGTTTAGCTTCAGATCCACCCATTAAGCATTGCATTTATCCTGCTGGTTAAGGCCCAGTAAATCCAGCACAAGGATCACGAATCATGGAATTGTTGAGATTTGAAAAGACCTCTAAGACAGTCAAATTCAACCATGATTTACGTGAAGAGCATTAAATTGATTGGGTTGTCACTGTATGTGTGTCCCAAAATCTGGTGGTGATCCTTGATAAGTATCATGTTTTTCCATGACATAACTCTTCAGATTCCTAGAAGAAGTTAATTGGCCTCTCATTGAAAGAGACTTTATTTTTGTGTCTATACACCTATTGTGTAGGAAATCAGAGTAATTTGGTTTCTGTTACTGGAATCTGATATCAAGGAATGGCTGTTAAAAGAACTTTATTCTGTGAAATGCACAAGTTGCAATACCCAGATAAATAGGATTGTTGAAAAGAAATCACTGCCTTTATTATTACTTTACCCAGTGCTATTCTCTAGGGGAATTAATTATATTTTAACTGACTGGTAGGAAGAATTCTGTAAGGAATTTGGAGGTATCCATTAAAGCTTAAACACATGTATTAGGGCTTGATACTTGAAATAACAGCCCAGCTTTCTCATCTCTCCACGTGTCACACCTTGTTTTGACTGGGAAAGGAAATTACTGGTGGTAATTTCAGGTTGAAAATTAAAAGCCAGTGCTGAGCCAGCAGTGCGTGGGGACCCCACAGCCTGATGTTTTCATTCCTTGATACCATCCTTGACCACCCTGGAGCCTGCTGTGGTCCAAGGGCTGGGTGTTGCAGGTGGAGAGCCAGAAAGCCTTCATCATGTCCAGAGCCTCGGGCATGTTTCATCTGAGCTCCCACGAGCTCCAGAGAGGCCACAGCATCTCCTGTGCGCCCTGTCCTCAGTCATCTTGTCCTTCCCAAGTTCAAAAATGCGATTTATTTGGCAATTTTCTGTGCTAAGGTGCTCCAGGGCAGTGGTGCTTTCAGGATAGAACTGCTCCCACCTACCTCACCGGGATATTTTTGGATAGTCAGTGACATTTGAAAGGAAAAGCGAGTGAATGGGAGCTGGAGAAAAGCTTTGTGCCCTGGCAGAGCCCCATCCCAAATGGGATGTGCTCAAGGCTGGAGCCAGCCAGGGAGCAGGAGGAGCTGGAGAGGTGCCAGAGCAGCTTCCCGAGGGATTTACAAGCAGAGAGGGATTTTTAAGGGCCTTTTTTATATTGCAGAAGAAAACAGGAAAGTTGGCAGCTTGGCCTGAGCCGATATCACTGGTTTTCTGCTTATTTTAATAAGTAGGCAGAATGTAGCAGGTTCTAGCAGAGTTTGCTGAGCTGGAAAAATCAAGGAAAAGCTGGGAAAAGAGGAAATTTTCCTTTTTTTTTTTTTTTTTCCCAATTGAATTGATTTTTTTGAATGAAGAGCAGGATCACAGTGGCTGAGTAATGTACAATGAGCCTGACATTCCCCCCCACCACCTCCGGATCACGGGAATCTGTCGTTCCCAGCCCCTGCCTCGCTGTGATGGACTCAGTGAGCGCTCTCAGAGAGCTTGACACGTGAAAAACAGCAAATAAAAAATAAGTTCAAGGAAACAATCACAAGTTATTAGCGGCACCGAGTCCTTAAACAGAGCTCGGAGCACAATCCAAGCTCAGCGCGGCACTTCGGAGCTGTCAACTGCTGTCACCGTCCATCTCCACGAGCAGCCACAACTTAATTTCGTTTACTCCTCAAGTGGCAGGCCCAGTCATTTCTCAGGATCAGCGCCTGTTTTTCCCGACTGATTCGTCTGGATCCTTGTCACGGGTCGTTAACACTCCTGCTCCTAAAGACTCCACCTGCCGCAGTGGATCAGAGTCGCTGAGGGGGAAGCGCCGCCGCCGCAGCTCCGGCCAAGACACGGTTTGTTTGTTCTTTCCCACCAAGACACGATTTGTTTGTTCTTTTCTCCCTGCAGGTCGTGGCCTATCACTACTGCCAGGCCGACAACGCCTACACCTGCCTGGTGCCCGAGTTCGTGCACAACGTGGCCGCCCTGCTGTGCCGCTCCCCGCAGTTCGTGGCCTACCGGGAGCAGCTGCTGCGCGAGCCCCACCTGCAGAGCCTGCTCAGCCTGCGCTCCTGCGTCCAGGACCCCATGGCCTCCTTCCGCAGGGGCGTCCTGGAGCCCCTGGAGAACCTGCACAAAGGTATGGTGGTGGTGGGGAGGGGGTGCTGATTGCCCCGAGCTCCCACAGGCCTTGCGTTTCCGTGTCGTTCCGAAGCGCCGCGGGGTCGCGTCAGGGTGTTGAAACGAAGCGGTGGGATTGATCCCGCTGCGACGCTCTGAGGGCTGCAGGGAGGAGGTGGGATCTGAAGAACCGTAGAATTTTGGTTGGAAGCAACATTAAAGACCACCTCGTTGCACCCCCCTGCCATGGGCAGGGACACCTTCCACTAGCCCAGGCTGCTCCAAGTCCCATCCAATCTGGCCTTGGACACTCGCAGGGATCCAGGGGCAGCCACAGCTTCTCTGGGCAACCTGTGCCAGGGCCTCCCCACCCTCACAGGGAAGGATTTCTTCCTAATATCCCATCTAACCCTGCCCTCTGGCAGTGGGAAGCCATTTCCCCTTGTCCTGTCCCTCCAGACCCTTGTCCAAAGTCCCTCTCTGTCTTTCTTAGGTACTGAAAGGCTGCTACAGGGTCACCCCAGAGCTAAACCCTAACCCAGAACCCAGTGGTCCCTTCCAACCTGACCCATTCATTCTGTGTGATTCTGTGATTGTGCTTGACGAGAAGCCAGGGGTTAACCAGCCCTCTTCTCCTCACGTGCAGGGCTGTGGAAGAAACACTTGCCTTTCCCTTTTCTTGCCTCCTTCCATGTCCCAAACCTGCCCTCACAGTTCTGAAGGTGAAAACAAGCAACAATTTCCATGCACATTGGTGGTTACAGCAACAGGTTCTGATTTAGTTGTGTAGGGGTGACTTTTTTCCCTTTCCCTGCCACTCTTTAGTGGGCTTCAGAGAATTTGAAGCTTTCACCAAAGGGCTGATACCATAAAAGTCGATAGACACCCTCTGTAAAGCTTCTGGGGGAACTGGTGACAAGCCTTATCCTGATTACAGAGCTTTTTCTAATGCAGCATTGATTTTGTCTTCTTTTCTTTCTTCCCTCTGCAAGTTATAAGTAATTCATTGTGACAATTGCTAAATTTAAGATCTTTGCTGGTTGCCATGAAAACTGTCAGAGCCTTGCAGAGTTCAGGACTCTGTTGTCCTGCAGAATGATGTTTATCACCGTGGCTGTGCTGCATCTTGGCTGCAAAAATACTTCAGATAATTTTGTTACCACCCTCCACTCCACAGTGGAATAGATGCAGATTCCAACATGGAATAGATGCAGCTTCTACCAGATTCAAAGCCCTGATGTTCAGATCAGCTCCTCAAAACTGTGCCCAAGCTCTGAGCAGCAGCAGCTGGGTCTAACCCACCTGGTTCCAGCAGGCACAAGGCACACGTAGAGCCCGCACAGCACGACAGCACTTGGTTTTCCTGGCATGGAGAAATGTCACTGTGGGAGGAGCGTGGCTGCTCTTTCCTACCAACACTCCTGGCAAAAAAGAACAAAGAAAAAAAAAAGATACATTTAAGGAACCGCTGCTCTAAAGGAAAATAATTCCTGGTTGTTACAGGAGCTCCTTGGGAGGTACTTGAATTCCAGCCCTTGAATTCAGAGCTTTGCAGAGGATGCTTATTTTTTTTTTTTTGCCAGGCAGGTTGACCCCCAGCTGGTCCTAAATTCCGAAAAATTTTATATAAAACCTTATTTTCTTTCCTCTTGGGCTCTGCACTCAACACAGCTCCAGTGGAGCAGGACTCCCATCTTTCAACCTTGCTGGTCCGGAGTGCTGGCAAGTTCATTTGCACCAAGTGTTCTCCAGCAAGATGAACAGTGTCTGGAAATTGGTTTTAAGATATATAACATTTAAGACTCTGTAAATATATCAGCACGTCTTTTACAAGGTGCTGTTGAAGCTTTAATGCTACTGGGACGAAATTATTGCGCAGCTGTTAATGGTGAGCGTCACTGAGAAAGATTCATGTTTCTCAAATATATATGTAAATATATATTTTTAATGACAAGGAAGCTAAATAATACATAGGAGAACAAAGTTCTGATTCTTCCCCCACTCCCTGCTTTCTCCTCTCTCCCTCAGGCTTTATGAGGAACATGAGATGTGGGTATAAAACTCAGGCACTGCATTCACTCCAAGATTTCAGAGAGGCATAAAGCGAATTTTCTAGTGTACCCAAAAATCTTGCTGAGAAGTTAACTGAGAAAGCATCTAGGGTTGTCTTAATGCAAAATATGTGTTCTTCACAGGGGTATTTACAGTATATTAGGAAATAAGTGCAGCTTGTTGACGTAAGGCAGGGACAGCAGCACCGAAGGCGAGGTGTTTGCGCACGTCTGTTCTCCTGGAACACCCCAGGGGCCACGGGCTCTGTCATCATTGAACACTCTGTGCTGGGCTTTCACAGCAAATTTCCTGATGCAATTGAAAGCCAAAGAGAAAAACTCACCTCCTGTTGGGAATACTGAGCTCTGTGACAGCAGGATTTATCCATTGCACCAACAGCAGACTCAGACATCCCGTTTGCCACCTGGTTTGGAGTTTATTAGGCAAGGTTACCTTGGAGAAGATGCCACCTGAGCTTAAGATCCAGAAGTATCTGTATCATCAGTTGTAAGGCCACGCCCAGCTCTCAGTGTCTGACGTGGAAACACTGACTGCACTCTTTGCACCACCTGGGTTACTGTATCCTCCAGCAGCCAAAAAATCCTGTTTAAAACGTCCACGATTTGCTTTTTGTAGGATTTTCAAGGCCATATTGGACCTGGTCTGGTGTTAGGTGTCCCTGCCCACGGCAGGGGGGTGGAACAAGATGACCTGGAAAGGTCCCTTCCAATATGCAATTAATGTATCATGAAAAAGGTGCTGCTGTTGTGATTTTTTTTCTTCTTCAGCAATATCTGGTGATGCTTTCAAACACTGTGATGACTTAGCAGTACATTATGGTCGTGTGTCTGTAGCCTTTCCAGTAAATGCCTTTTTTCTTTCTTTCAGAGAGGAAGATCCCTGATGAAGATTTCATTATACTAATTGATGGTTTAAACGAGGCTGAATTTCACAAGCCAGATTATGGAGACACCATAGTATCATTCCTGAGCAAAATGATTGGAAAATTTCCTTCCTGGCTGAAGCTGATAGTGACAGTCAGGACAAGTCTACAGGTATGATGAGACCCAAAACAGTGATAAATTGTGTCATTGTCATGATGGGCTTAGGTAAAGATGGATGTCTGGATTTGCTCAAGACCCTTGATTTCACTTTATCCTTTTGGCTTCTTAATTTTGGATTTACATCCATGTCCCCAGACTCATTCTGCAGCTTTGGATGGATCTAATCCAGCATTGCTTTTTCACGTCAATAAATGTTCATCAGCAAATGGTTGAGATCATTTTGTGACACAGCTCACATGCCAACAGGCTCTAACTCACTGAACCATTAGGAGGGCAGGGCCTGATGTCTGTCAGCTTGTGCAGCTCGAGAACATCCTCTGTTCCATGTGGAAGAGCAGAGGAATTCAGATTTCATACCCTGAGTATGATCATTTCAGTCTGGAGGAGTCAGTGCAGGCCAAGACATTATTCAGCTCAGAAGGACTGTGGTGAGCAGGTGCTGAAGCTCTAAGCTGAGTGTTGTTTGGGTTATTCTTCAGTGGTTTTGTTTTAGTTTGCAGCTGGGCAGGTTTTTACCTTCAGCCTGTTCATCGTGACTCTTTTGGCAGAAGGATCAAGCTGAACTTAGTTTGTTGGCTCAACTGCTCATCTGAACAGAGGGAGCTGGGAAGCAAGCACGGTGACCCAGCTGGGGCAGATCTGCTCTTTCGAGGTTTCTCAACAGAGCTGCTTGATTTGCACCATCACTGATGGGAACATTCCCACCGAGCATCCGAGCCTGGAGCCCAGAGGAGGCAGAGTCAGCAGGATGGGACACACATTTGGGAGCCAGCTCTGCAGCTGGCCTGGCTGCTCCGGGCAGAAAGGCCTGTCTGCAGCTCTCTGGTTCTCATTTTTTCATTATTAGCCGTTTCTTCATTAGCACAGAGCTGTGGAGTTCATTTTTAACGAGCTCCATTAAGCAGTTTCACTGAGATTTGCTAATATTTACTGAGATCTGCAGATTGATTCACTGTGGCCTTCCTGGCAGGGAGCTGAGTCTGGTTCCAGCCCCAGCAGGGCAGCCAGACCCTGCACACTGTCCTTGTCACTGGGAATGGCAGCTGCTTCCCCAGACCCAGGAGAGCACAGGATATCTGTGCAATATGCTCCCCAAGATCCAGGAGAGCACAGATCTCTCTGCTGGACTGTCTGCTCCCCAAGATCCAGGAGAGCACAGGTCTCTCTGCTGGACTATCTGCTCCCCAAGATCCAGGAGAGCACAGGTCTCTCTGCTGGACTGTCTGCTCCCCAAGATCCAGGAGAGCACAGGATATCTGCTGTCTGGAGTCTGTTTTTTGCTCAGTAACGCAGTAGATTAAATATCATTTGAAAGAAATCTTTTTCTGTAATTGTAAGCAAATTGCATCCTACTGGCTTGAATTCCTCATTTAATTAGGGTTTTTGCAGCCCTGTGTTCTTCACTGCTGCTTTTCTTCGCCCTGTGCTCTCCTTCTTTATTTTCTTGGAGAGCTGATGGCTTCTCCGGAGTCTGCCTTGGCTTCTTCAGGTCTGTTGCATCATTTCTTTTCTCCTCACAGTGGCTGAGAGCCCGTGAGGGGCTTTGGAAAAGCCTTTGATGATCTTTGGTTTATTTGAGGAAGCATCATCAATGAGTTCAGCCGGTGACCATTCCCTGGGCACAGCATCCCTCAGCAGACAGACGTGGTCACTTTGCACTGGGAAATACTAATTATTATCTGTCCTGGTGTTTCCATGCACCCGTGGATGTGGGATGCAGGAGGATGCTCCCAGGGATGTTCTTCAGCTTCAGCAAGTTTTATTGTGGTCTCAGAACTGTCATCTGGCTGTCCATTCCCTCTGACTTGATCCGTGGTTGGGAATAACAGGGGCACTGCACTGTGTGGATTTGCCAGCCCTTTCCATGGATGTGGTGTTAGGAAATATCCTTCATTTTAATTTCAGTCATGTTTCACACACAACCTACTTGATTATAGATGAGTCTGAGGTCCTGAGGGCACAAACTGCCAGACGTGTGCTTGCCCTGATGGAAGGTCTTAAAGGAGTCTCAGAGGTGCCAATTGTAATAGAAATTAAATGTGCTTAATGAATAAGAAACGCAGCATGAGTGTCTTTTTTTCTTTTCTTTCTTTGTAGGAAATAATTAAGCTGTTGCCCTTCCACAGAATATTTTTGGATAGACTGGAAGAGAACGAAGCCATCGACCAGGACCTGCAGGCTTACATCCTGCACCGGATCCACAGCAGCTCGGAGATCCAGAACAACATCTCGCTCAACGGCAAAATGGACAACACCACGTTCGGCAAACTCAGCTCTCACCTCAAGACCTTGAGCCAGGGGTCCTACCTGTACCTGAAACTCACTTTTGATCTCATAGAGAAAGGATACCTGGTGCTAAAAAGCTCCAGCTACAAGGTGGTGCCCGTGTCCCTGTCCGAGGTGTACCTGCTGCAGTGCAATATGAAGTTCCCAACACAGTCTTCCTTTGACCGGGTCATGCCCCTCTTGAATGTGGCAGTGGCTTCTCTGCACCCATTAACAGACGAACATATTTTTCAGGCCATTAATGCAGGTAACATTGAGGGCACTTTGGAGTGGGAGGACTTTCAGCAGAGGATGGAGAACCTTTCTATGTTTCTTATCAAACGTAGAGATATGACGCGAATGTTTGTTCATCCCTCTTTCCGAGAATGGCTTATTTGGAGAGAAGAAGGTGAAAAGACCAAGTTTCTTTGTGATCCTAGGTAAGCAAACGCTCTGAGAAATCAGAGCTGACACAGGTGTTCACCTCACACTGTCACCTGAATCATTTCATTTCCCGAGGTTGCGCGTGGTTCGTTTACCTGACTTTGCAGTTCTCGAGATCTGTAGAGATCACCCGAGATCTTTGTGTTGTTCAGTGGAAAGAAATAAGCCCCCCTGGGCACACAGCTGACCTGGCAAACCCAACAGTCATCTTCAGAATGAGATGAGCTGTTCCTCAGAAGGCCCCTGGTGAACTCCCTCAGGTGTCACCGGGGCCAGGCTGCTCCTGCCAGCTCAGTCTGGAGAAGGGGAATCATCCTCCCTTTCTCCAAAGGTATCCAAACCACATGAAGTGGAGGATAAGGAGATGAAAGATGAGTATGTGGATATGTCTTTTGCAGTTGCCTTCTTTTTCAAGTTGTGTTCCTCGTGGTCCTACTGAATGTCTATTTGAAAACAGAATAAGGAGCAGGATTGGGCTGTAGTGATTTTGGCGTGTAAATGCATCTGTAATCTCTGTCCTGACAGCAGCTGAATTCCTGGCTTAGCTCTCAGGGAACAGAATTTAATCACAGTTGGATTTATATTCCCTAAACCCAATGATCATTATTAACAGCATTATCTTTGTTTCTGCTGAAGAGTGGAAACAGACTCTGACTGTAACTTTATCCCCACAAGCTTTGCTCTGTTTTGTCCACCCATTTCTTAAAATATGATTATAAAAATCAGGGAAACACTGGGATTCAAGGCTGTGTCAGTGCCTCTCCCAGACCTGATGGTCCCTCTGAAGACAGTCTGATGGTATTTGCTGGAACTGGGTAGCATCTGGCTGATCAAAGCAGCTGTGGCTGTTAGTGGTGTCAGAGTAATTTACCTCTTCAAATTTTGAGCTAAACAGGCTGCAGCAGAAAAACACTAAATAGCTCCTCCCAATGGGCATCTTCGTGGTTTTAGTAGGTTCTGACAATATTCCTGTCGAGTGAACCCGTTGTAAAGCATCTCACAGCAGCAGGTGCCTTTAGATCAGTCAGTGAGTTGTTTAATACCCTTCCTCGGAGTCATTAAGTGCTTGTCACCACGTGGTGCTGTTCCACCCTGTTTGCAGTGTCTGTGCAGTGCTTACACCCGTGGAGCTGAGAGCTTTCTGCCTCCCAGTCACTCCCTCCTGCTGCAACTGGTGTTGTCTGGCCTGGCTGTAAGAGCTTGTTATCAGCTGGGTGAGGGGACAGCCTGGCAACTACCACTGATCACACAGCACCTGCCAGAATGGTCCCTAAGGAGAGAAACTGGGAAAAATCACTGCTTTCCATTGTTACCATGAACATAGAATCAAGGTGCGGGATGCTTCCCTGGTGGCTGAGGCTCCCCACGGGTGTTGGGTGCTGTGGGTGGTACCCGTGGGTGCAACCAGGTAATATGGGGGTTGGAGTTCTCTGGGTCCAGGAATTCTCTTCATCCTCACAGCAGTGGGAAAGGGCACTCTCAGAACACCAGACTCAGAAAGGAACTCGAATGTGCAGCATTTTAGGTGGTTTCACACTGAAACCAAGCGTCCAACCACATGTGATTTTATTGGGAAGGCACAAATCCACCCCTATCCACTCAACAAGTCACCAGATAGTTCTCTGCTCAGCAGAGGTGGTTTTGCTCTGAAACCAAGTATGCAGCCACGTGTGATTTTAGCACAAAGGCATAAATCTGCCTGTTTTCACTCGACAAGTCACCAGATGAATTTCTGCTCAGCGTTCCAGTTTGGTGCTGCCTTTCCTGAGCGTCACAAACACGTCGCGCTGCCCTCAAGACCATTCTGGGGATTTTCAGGCATTACTTTTCATCCTATATGTGCCATTATTGTGAGAAATTAATGGTGACTGTAAAGCTTATGGGGACCACTGTGCAAGCAGGGAATCCCTGCAGAGCTGACCCAACTTGCCTCCTTCCCACTGGCAAAAAGAAGTTGCAGCTCATCAACAGGCTCCCGCCGCCGTGAGCACGAGCCCATGTGTAATGAAGGATTAATAAATATCTGTGATGTATAATGTGTGCTAATTGCATTGTGCTCTGATGGTGGCTAATGAAACAGGATACAATTCAGTGATTAATCGAGAGGGACCCCTGAGATTCAGCTCCAGCACTCCTCAAAATCCTCCTGTCCAGCTGATCCCGAGACGCTGAGCTCAGAGCACGGGAACCCTGAGCGACAATCAAGATAAGTGGTGATTTTTCCTTTTTATTTCTCTGGAGAGAAGCGGAGCTGGACACTGACAGAGCTCACAGCAGTAGCCTGCGAAAATTGGCCTGTGTCTGGTTTGTTCACAGCCAGCTTGATTTCTTGGGAATTGAGAAGACGTGACAACTGTCCGGAGCGCTGCCGGCGTTGGTCGTAGAGCGTGGAGCTGTTTGCCCTTGCCATGTCAACACGTGAAGAGTCAGGTTGCTGAGCTGATGTTTTTCCCCACGAGAAGAGCTGTGAAGTGAAATGTGGGTTTGTGAAGCTGCTTTTAATTGACTGACCCTGACAGAGTGTCCAGGTGTGAGGCCCTTACAAAGGAAATTGGGATAATGGGCCTCGTGTCCCTGGAACTGCAGCTGGGATAATCTTCCTTGTTTCATTAGTGAGAGCGAGTTCTCGTGTTGTCAGAAGCAGGGAAAAGGGGAGAGGGGGGAGGAGGAGCACGATGTCCAGGAATTATCCCATTTTTCCACACTTTTAAGATAAACAGCAGATCTCCATCCTCTGGGTTTTTGGTTGACCCTCTTCTTTGAACCCTCACCATGCCCTTGCTGTCCAAAGCAAAGCCTAATTGGCTCTGAAGGGGAATTCTCTCTGCCAACCCCCCTCAGCCCCCTTTGTTGTTTAACACAGGACACCAAGGAGGCTTTGTCAGAGCATTTAACCAGCATTGCAGTAACGACCTCCCCAGCCTGTCAGGGCAGCACCGTGAACCAAACGGCTTCCTTGACAAATAACATAAAACATTTTACGGAAAGACCCAATCCTTTGTGACTGGTGCACCAAGAAAATGGTTCTGATTGCACGTTCCCTTTCACACTTGTGTTTCTTAACCTAAATTCTGCTCTGATGTTGTGCTGCTGTGCAGATTTAATCAGAAACTTCCATGCAATTATTTCCCATGCTTTTACAATACTAGTAAAATGTTTTATCCCTGTGCTGCTGCTGAAGGGACTGTGAGGGAGGCAGAAGTGAAGTGATCTGCCCTGGCAAGGCAGTAGGAGAGCTGTAGTCAGATATGGACCCCAAAAGTGAAATTACTTTATCCAGATTTAAGTATCAACATCTGAGTTACTTGTCTAGACGTGCTTTATAGTCAGAGGAGAGAAATTAGAGTGATTCATTTCATCCTGAGCTAACAGGCTACAGTAGGTCAGAGCAGGAATGCCTGGGAAGCATCTCCAGCTGATTTATGAGGGATCTCGGGGTGATGGGCTCCCCAGGAGATGTCTCCAGTTTTGACAAATAAAGCTGGAGGAGATGAATCTCTCCAGCCTGTTCAACACACAGGGGTTTGAGGTAGATTCACAGATTTTCTTTCCTTGCACAGGAATGCTAAGGAAGGAAAAAGGTGCTCCAGGAAGATAATCTCAGTGCTGTTGTCTGTATGTGAGCTTCTCAGTTTGGGCTTTTGCATCTCAGGGTGGCCATGGAGCACCCAGTGCTGTGTGTGCTGGTGATGGTGGTTGAGGAAACAGGCTCTTAGTGCTGCTTGGGCATGTCCCAGCATCCATGGGATCACAGCAGAATGAAGCATTTTAGATCTTCCCCTGGCATGGTGAAGCCAAGCCTTACTTAATTTTAGGTGCTTGCCAACCCCACGTCTGTTCCTCAGGTGGGTGCTCTGGTCTCCTTTAATCCTTGAAGCAATTCATCCAGCCTGTTTTAGCTGTGACTGGGATGAGCTGAACCTCATTACCTGTTCCCCTCTGCTGCCTGGAGGACAGTCCCTGGACTCCAGGGCCACCTGGATATGGACACGCTGCTCTGGAGAGGTGGCCTGTGCCAGGCTGGAACTCGGAGGAGATGGGAAGCTGCAGAGGTGGTGCCTTCAGAGGAGGTTTGCTCCTGTTTGCTGTTCCTTTACATTGCAAAGGCTCTACTCTGCTTCTGGCTCCTTGCACCTACTCTGGATTTATCATCTGATGGGCACAGCAGCTCATATTTTACCTTCCATAAGGAGAGCGAGAGGACGGGAGCCACCAACGCGACGGTGGAGGAGAGTCTCCAGGTGGAGAACTTCAGGAATATCCTGCTGCCCACAGGACATTTTCACTGCATGGAGGTGCCAGGCTGTTCTCATGGATCCTACAGATGAGGTGTTATTCTGGAACCCCAAAACTCTGTGTCTGGGTTTCCAGAAGAGCTGAGTGCTCAGGTGTGGAGATGCCCAGCAGGCTTTTGGGCATCTCTCAAAATCAGGGTGTTGGTGCCTCATTCAGCATTGGCACCACTGGGCTGATGCAGCTGTGAAACCCAAGCTTGGAAATCCTGTCTGAGGAATCAGTTCTCTGCAGTAAATATTCTCTTCAGTGCACCAAGACTTTATCAGGCAGCTCCTGCTCGTGGAATTTTGTAGAAAAAAATCTAAAAATCAGGGATATATCACCAAAAAATTAACCAGGGAGAAGTACTGGTGGCTTGATGGTTGAGGGCATCTCCTCACCTCTTCCCTCCTTTTCTGCATCCACAATCTGTCCCTGAAGGGATTAACAAGCAGAAGGATGCAGCTCTCCTCCACCACTCGAGTTGCCATGGTTTCTGCCAGAGCTGTCCTTTAGTACAATACTCTCTAGGTATTTTGCATTTTCCTTTTTCTCTCAGGGGCACATTGCAAGTGGAGACTTTTCCTACACAAAATTAATGTTTTTATGTATTACCCAGCAAAATGATAGAGTGAAGGAATTAGAGGAAAATCAGGGATTTTTGTTTTGGTGGAATGATTGATCTGATTGACAAATCATAACCCTCAGTCTAAAGATAATT